CTTCAGTTGCTTCCCACCATTTGTTTTTGTTTGATTCCAGATTGACAAAGTCATATTCCATCTGGGCAAATGTCAGAAATGCGCATATTATACGCCCATTTGAGCAGTGTTCGAACCCGCCAGTCGTTCCTTTATACTGCCTGGTTAATAGGGATTCCCAGTTCATGGATTATGATAATTCCCAATATTGATAAATCATTACCATCACCAGTTAATGGTGATAATATGTATAATATGGGTTATCATTTACGTTGACGTCCTGTTGGGGTCGCTACAGTTCACCTAAACTCATAACTACATGGTTGATTCGCCTCCCCAAACACATACTGGTGGCTATATCCATCATAGGTTGTATCCCATGCATACATATGTATTATATATATATACGCATTGTGTCAAGAAGACAGGGTGCTCCAAAATCCAGTGGTTGTTCACTATTCGTCTCATCAATCTTGTTGTTTCAGACATTCACCAATCTGAAATAAAGACATGCTGGTGTCGTATGATTATGCATATGTGGGCATGTCTGAATAGCGGATCTCCCCAAACTATGCCAGACATCAAATCCGGGGTATGCCACGTCGCTGAAATGGGTCTCCGAAAATCCCTAATGAAAATGGATTGTACATGTTTATGTATATATGTATATATGTATATATGTATATATGTATATATGTATATATGTACATATGTATATATGTATATATGTATATATGTATGTATCTATGTATCTATGTATCTATGTATCTATGTATCTAGGTATCTATGTATCTATGTACCTGTGCATCTATGTATCTATGTATCTATGTATCTATATGTATATGTATATGTATGTGTGTGTATGTGTGTATGTGTGTATGTGTGTATGTGTGTATGTGTGTATGTGTGTATGTGTGTATGTGTGTATGTGTGTATGTGTGTGTGTGTATGTATGTATGTATGCATGCATGCATGTATGTATGTATGTATGTATATTTATACATGATTGGCTGGGGATGATTCCCGGAATCCAATTCCCATGATTCCAGGTTCGGTCACGACGTGAGGTCACATTTTTTTTTGGCCCAGGTCCTGTTTGGTGGGGAGCGCCTTCATCACGTCCTGATTCAAATATTGTGATTTCACCAAGCAACATGTTGACCAAGCTTAACTAAGCTTGCTAACATTGATCGCCTGGCTAATGACATAGTTAGATGATCTGAAAGATGGCCAGGCGAAACCTTGCCACACATCACGCCAGCAGGCCACAACAGATTGATTTCTAGACAGAAACAATGCTTGAATCATTCAAATGGCAGTGTGTCAAAACCAATAGTACCCTGGTGAACATCAAAATAGCTGGGATTTATGGATGTTCATCCCCCTAAAAATGGTATTAATAGGTATTGATCCATAGCCAAATGTGTTTTAGAATGGGATAACCATTGGATAATAATGCCATTAATGGATAGTCTTAAATGGAACTTTATATCGGAAATCTTATGATGCCTTTGAAATGTCCATCCCAAGGAGAGGTCAATGGTTGGTGTTTGATCAAAATATGAATTGGGTGCAAACATATACAGATATGGGGGGGTTCCATAAATGGTTCCATAAATGGGGGGATCCCCAAATGCTTGGTCTATTTAGGGGGAAAACCATCCATAAATGGATGATTTGGATGAAAATAGGGGGTACCTCCATTTCAGGAAACTGCCATATACATAATATGTATATATATATATATATGTATACATATAGGTCCATAAGGGATATCATGTGACTGGAGCTACAAGCTTACGGCGTACGGATATCGTTTGAGATCTTCCCATTGGGGATGCAATATGAACCACGTCTGAAGCCATCAAGTCGTAGGAGACGGGAAAAAAAAACATATAGAACCCATTTTGATGGCCATATCCAAGTGCAATATATATATATATAATATATATATATCTCTTCCAAACATCCATTTTTGTTGGTGGTCATTTTTTTGCAAGTTTGGGAGGTATAAACTCCATATCCAATAATTTGATGGTTTAATCCGCTATAAACATAAAGCAGTATATCCCCAGTAATAACAACCGACCAAAAAGATGCAATTTTGAGTGGTACAAAGGGATGTAACAAATCCATGGTACTTAAATATAGATACCATAAATTTACGGATGTTACTAAAGATATATATTATATAGATATAGGATATATCCCCATTATATCCCATTCTATATATCTATATATGGTTTTCTCAGGAATTTCCATGATATCAACATATAAGATATGTATATATATATAGATATAGATATGGCTATGAGTCAAAACCCTGGCACTCTACGTACTATAAAATAGATGGTGAATGGATTGTTATCCCCCCAGTCATATGGTATTTTTATTTGTATATACAGTAATAGGTTTTGATCCATCCCTGGTATATAATAATATTTATATATATACCCTCTGGTAATTTAAAATAGCTATTGAACATGTCCATAGAAATAGTGGATCTACCCATGAAAAATGGTGGTTTTTCGAATCAGTTGTTTGTATGTTTACCAGAGGGTATATAGATGGGGATGATCCCCCATAGATCCTTTCCAGCTTTCCAACTTAAAAGGCCGCCTCCGGATCGGTGGCAGCATCCAACTCTTCAGTGAGCTCGGCTCCCTGTCGAGCAGAGATGGCGATATGTCGAGCTGATTGCTATACTGATTCATCAATTGGTTGGTCATTGGATATAGCAATTCTACTATGTTTGAATTGCTATTTCCAATGACCAACTGCTGTAGCAGTTGATTCGCAAGCAATTTATGAAATATATTGAAATATCATGTATGATAAATCCCAAAGAAAATCTGAGACAAATGTTACGCGGTGAAGTCGTTGCGAGGTCGCTACGAGAGTGGCACTGATCCTTCCAACTGTTGAGGCAGTAATTGATTCGAAGACATATATATTTTAGTGCATATATATATATATATGATATATATATACAAGGATATATATATATATAAGGATATATATATATATATGATAAGGAGAAGCCTCCAAACAAATCATGTACAGTATTCGTATTGCAAGGAAAACATATATATATATATATGAGTATAATGTAATATGTTATAGATTAAGTATATGTTTTTAAGATTTTCCATTGCCACAACCAGGGGATCTGTTCAGCACATCAAGGCATAGCTTTTTGCCCGCTTCAATCAGGGGGAAATTAGCGAAAAAAATCCAAGCACTTGCGGAGGAGGGACACATTTGGCCACCGAACAACACCAAAAACAGGTAATCATAGGTGAAATATTATGAAAGGTTAAAAAAGAACCCAAAAATAGCGGCCAAATGTTGTTTCTCATTCCGCAACATGTTGTTTTTCATAGAGTTTGATCAGACCATTTTTTTTGAACGTGTCGGTTCCCTGATGTTCCCTGAACCCGACATTTACAGTGACGACTGGTGGGATTCCGTGGCGCTTGCGCAACCGCCCTCTCTGACGGGCGCACCAGTTTGGGTCCACTGAAACGGACGGGCTCCGTCAGTCCCAGTCCTGGGATGGGACGAGTGGGACCCTGCTGGATGTTCGGGCGAGGTCACCTTGCCAAGCGCCTGCCAATTTTTTTCCCCAGTCGGAGGTTTCTGAAAAGTCACAGGGGTACCTCCAGAATATCTTTAAGTCATGTGATTTTCGGAATTTCCTATGGAGTTTTACATAGTTTTGCCATCCAGCGACTATTGGGGTATCCCGGCATCCAACCATGACTATGGAGGAAACTCCCCATGACAGACACCTCGCGGCCACTGAATCGGCCCCAAGTCACGTCGTCCCTCAGAGCGCATCCACTGGTCCCAGGCTTGTTCGAACTTCCTCGGTTCGCGGACGGAGAGATGAGACCTTTTCTGATCCACTTCATGGGATATAAATCACGGGTTAATAACTTGGGTGAACAAGTAAATGGGATACACAAAAAATGATGCACTTCTGGGATACATGGGTTCAAACCCTAGATTCAAAGCATCTACATATTTGTTTAATCATTAGTACTGGTATGTACTGCTATGTTTGTGCTAGTATATTTTGTAGGATGACATAAGATTCCAACTAACACAACCATACATTCATGAATATAAATAACACATACACTAACATGACATGCAACGCGTTCAACACACTTGAAAACACATTTGTTAGTACACTATAGTATCATGTGGTAAACCCAACAATAAACCTACTATTTGGGGATGATATTTACCAGCCAGTTATGGTAATATTGGGGATGTTTCGTTATTGGGTTAACAACAGTAATTGGGATCATTGTATAACAATCTTCAGTCAAAAGATGTCCCAAGATTATATATACCTTCTTCATAGTTCCCGATCAACCCCAAGCAGTTACCTTTTAGTGATAGATCATCTAAAAATATGTTTTTGTTTATATTTATTGTGATATTTATTATGATATGTATTATGACATTTATTCATGGTTAATTATTCATGGTTACCCTCTGGTAAATTAACATAGACCATGAAAATAGCATTTTTTTCAATGGAACCAATCTTCCAATCCCTATCTGGCAGGGTCGATGTTCATTTTCTGGAGGGTAACAACTGGTGATTTTGGTGATAATAAAAATTATGATATTTATCAAATGACATTTATGACATTTATGACTATGGTTATCCTCATGGTGATTCTCCTGGTGATGAATAGATGAGAATCACCATAGAATAGCTACCCCCATAGATAACCATTTACCATTTTCTATGCTTATTATGAATAGCTACCCCGTGCCGGGTGTCCCAACTCCTATCTCCTGCCGGAAACCTTGGTGTCCCAACTCCTTGATCCGTCGGAGCTTCGTTCGACGAGCCAACTGGCGGCCGAAACAGGTCATCCAGGTCATCCAGGTTTCATTGGACCCCGTGGGGAGCGGGGTTTCATTGGGAATCCAAGGCCTATCTCGGGAATCCAAGGCGTGACTACCCGGCCTGGTAAACCTACAAAAAACTCATGGGAACATCACCATTTTTAATGGGATTGAATGGGATTTGATGGGATTTAGCCTCTGGTAAACATACAAAAAGCTATGGAAGATCACCATTTTTAGTAGGTACATCAACGAACTTTCTCTGGCCATGTTCAATCGCTATGTAACAAATTACCAGAGGGTATATGGGGGATAACCCTAACATAGGGCTACCCCCACATCATCAAATTAGACCAAATCATAGTATTGAAACAGATTCTTTTGGGGTACCCCTATTTTAGGAAACCTGAAAATATCCAATGAAATATTAGATTAGATCCAATGATAATAGGAGATTATCCAATATCTATCTATGCGTTTACCCCCAATGATATTGACCCCCAATGATATTTATCCAATACATAGGATGTAATATCAGGAGGGTACATACACATAGATAAATAATGATAGATATAGGATATGCTACCATTGGGGGTATAAGCTTATGGGATTTACTAATTGACCACAATATGTGATGTTCTACATACCCACAGATATTATAGGATTATTGGATATTATAAATATATATATATATGATATCTAACCATAATCATGGTATATAGTTGGAGGATATGTATATATATATATAAATGGTGGTAAGTTGCGAAATAGGATAGTTGTATATAATTGTGGGTATATCCTAACGGGGATCTACTATCCATAATATGGGATATGATGACGTTTAAAGTTGATAATATGATATAATCAACCAACATGATATGATCGCTGGGTTTGCCCAATACTGCTTGATTGCCCCCTTAGATATAACCATTCAATCGCGAACCTGTCTGGAATTTCAGGGTCGTTCGTCGTGAACCCAATGCCGGCTTCGGTGACATTTCATAGCATGCCACCAAATGATTTCATATCCTCAGCTTTCGCATATTACATCTTATTACATCATATTTCCATGTTCGTTGATGTCCATGATGTCCTACTGGCAGCTATTCCAAGTGCTAGCACTTAAAAGATCTCTCACAGGACATCATCTTGCACTGCCCGCCCGCATGTTGTAGTCCGCACGCCACTTTCCAACCCTGTAGAGTGGACGGAAGTACTGCTGCCTGGCTGGGGCCACTGGGTCCAGGAAAGGGTCCAGGAAATGATGTAAAAATGCTGGGTGTTCCATAGCTATGTTTTGGTGACTGAAGGGAAACAGCTCCAACGAGGGATAGCTTGCATTTTGACTTACAAAGCTGGAAGTGAAGATGAAAACCCAAGCTTTTGAACGTCTTTTTTCAGATGGTGTCCTTGTCCGTTTTTCGGATAGAAAATGTGAACTCCCCATTCCAATTCTGGGAGTCTGTCCATGAGTCAGTCAAAACAACAGGTTCCAGTTCAGGCAAAACAAATGGCTACTGGCTACTAGCCATCTTTCGCATGAATTATCCGCTTTCTTTAAGTGAATGATTGGAGTATGACTCATTATGTCATTATGACTCAACATTCGCCACTGACCCACAACAATTGCCATGGGATGAAAATGACCGTTGGATTGGATCTACGATGAATATATCGACAGTTCAATTGGGCGTTTAGACCAACTAGCTGGAAGAGCCCCACTGTATCATAAATATATTTCTCATCTATATTAATTACATATATGTATGTCAATATATGTATATTTATTATAATATTGAACGGAGAATATGCAACTCGCTATTTTAGCAGCGGTGTTCTTGAGCCAAAGGTTGGCGTAGCAACTAGTGAGAACCCTATATCCCGTCACCCCTCCTGTACAGAGGCTGGGATTTTCCTAAGCTGATGTACACTCATTCCAAAGCCTTTGCAGCTTCGGCTCTACCATGAGAGTACTCGAACCCCATGCTTTGCATGTGTCTTTCCATCTCATTCGCAGGTAAACCTTTGGTGCACAAATCAGCTACGTTCTGCTTTGTCGGGATCTTCACCAGTTCGAATTCATGTAGTGCAAGCTTTTCTTGCACCCACAGAAAGCGAGTTTGAACATGCCGTGAGCGGCCTAAGCCCTGACGGTTACATGTTCCCAGCGCAGCGGATGAATCTGTGTGCACTTTAAGTTTTGGTTGTAGGCCCCATCCTCGCAAGATCTCCTGTAGCGACATTCCGATGGAAACTCCTCGAACGATCGAGTAGTATTCCGCTTCACCGGAACTCAAGCTGATCGTGCTCTGAAGAGTGCTCGAGGCCTTCACCGTGTGGCGGCCAAAGGTTGCCACAAGTCCACTTGTTGAGCGCCTTGTAAGAAGACACCCAGCGAAGTCGGAGTCCACGTACATGTGGATCGTGTCAGCAAACTTCTGGCGACCAAACTTCAAAAGTACACGTGGTTTCCCTTTCAGAAATCTCACCAAGCGTTTCAGATCCTGAAAGTCAGATTCTTTGGGCTCATGCATTCTTCTTGATAGGCATTTCACTGCCTCCGCGATGTCAGGTCTGTCCTGTGCCACATACGACGCTCTCATCACCAGAGACCGGAAGAAACTTACACGGTCCGGTGTGATGGTCGGGGTGGTCAACTTCAAGTTGGCCTCCGTGGCTGACATTTTCTCAGATGGTGGCTTGACTGGCTTACAGTTTTCCATTTCTAGATCTCGTACCATCTGGTCAACGTGGCGGGGATCCGCCTCATAGGATACAGAGCCTTCCTGCTCGTTGTAGGTCACGATTCGATTGAGCACTGCGAACTGCTGATGCCGTTCTCCAGGACCGATCGATCCATCGACCCGCAGATCATATTTGGACCTCAAGGTGTCCTCAAGGTATTTCTGTCCAGCATCATCAGCAAGCACCACGAAGTCATCTCCGTGTACAAGAACTCGAATACCACCGTAACCTTCATGGTAAAAGCAGGATGGCCAAGCTTGATTCTTGGCAAAACCAGCTCGGATGAGAAGTTCTGTATATGATCTTTGCCAGATCGCTGATGCATCGCGTGTTCCATACATGCTCTTAACGAGCTTGCCACAAAACCCTTCTTGTCGATCTCCTTCAGGTAACTGCACGAAGATATCACGCTCTGCCTCTCCATAGAAGTGAGCGCGTGATATGTCAAGAAGACGAACTTTCAGTGCATTGCCAGACTTGGATCGTCTCAAAGTCACCATAAGCGATAGAAGCAATTTCAGCGATTCCAAAGGCGGCATCGAACTGAAGGACGCATAGTCCGGAATGAAGTCAGCATTGCTGGCCCGTTTGATCTCTCTACAGACCAGACGTGACCTGTAGTTGGGGTGTGTTGCATCCCCTTTGTTTCTGTCAATCCATTTCATGGTGATGACCGGTTTTCCAGACTGTTGGGCTTCTGTGAGTGGAACTTTGATATAGATACCCTGTTTGTGTACCCATGCTAGTTCTTCTTGTCGAGCAGCTCTGACCTTGTCAACATCCAAGACAGCACCGGAGTGTGCGTCAAGCACTGGCTCCACGATGGTGTCATCGCTGTCGGGCAGCTGCTTCCAAAACTCCTCCTCTTCATTGATCACAGGTCCAGCATCGGGTACTGGGCCATGTGAAAGTGAGTGTAGTTCTCCATCACATTCCAGTTGGCGCCTAATGGCCTTGAGAATTGCGTGGGCAAGCTTTGGTGGGTATTTCTGGGCAGCTCGGGCTCGTCCATCAACAAGATGTACATGGCGGTGCCAAACTTTGCCTTCTTTGTTTGAACAGCACCCTTGTAGGGTCTGTGCCAGGATTGGAGAGTTCGTGAGCCAGGTAGTTTCTTTCTTCACTGACCCTTCACCTTGGCCATCGGCGGCCTTCATTCCCCAACGGCACATTGGTCCAGTGACCTCATACACCCGTTCATCTGCCCTCAGTCTCTTCACAGCTCTCTCTTCCCACGAAGCGGCCCCTTTAGGGTGCTCATGGTAGAAGTACCTTCCAGCATTCATTTGATGCTCATACGCTGAAACTGCCGTGCGCAGATGTTTGCGACCATCTTTTAGTCTCTGCGCTCGAACTTCAGGTGAAACATTGCCCTTCGCATCCACAATGTTTTGCAGCTTCGAGAATGGCCCACAGGGAGGTGAGCCGCCGAGGAACTCTGGTTTCTCATAGTCAAGCAGTTGAAACAGATCACGAATGTGTTCATCTTTACTCAAGTCCCAGTGAGTTCCATCACCACGCTTTGTCTCCAAGTCAATCGAGAAGCCAGGTGCTAGCCCGACCACTTGGGCTTGTGCAGCCACACGCGGTGGAGAGAAGATCTCAGCAACCTTCCCTTTTGCGATCACATCTTTGAGCAAGGAACACAGATGTAGCATCTCCTGGTTTGTCTCAGGACTTGTTGGTGCAGCGGCAGCACCTTCCGGAACACCAGATGAAGCATCCGGTGCCGGTGGTCCGGCTGACCCTGAAGCCTGAGCTGAAGATTCATTGTAAAGATCTTCAACGTCGACTTGTGAACTCCTTTTCTCTCCTCGGGATTGTTCTTGTTTCTGCCTCTTTGGGCTTCCTTCTCTTTCTTGTTCTCTCTGTCTGAGTTCTCCACGAAAATCGGTGTCGACCAGTGGTTCACCAACAGCCTCACTTGCATCCATTTCCGCATCCAAAGGAACACGGTCTTGCAAGACTGGTTGTTCAACTTCCCCTCCTGGGACAACTGGTGGTGCAGCTTCACCACCTTCTGCCCCACCACCCTCAGGCGGTGCAGCCGCGCCTCTTGGGCGCCTGCCTTGTGCAACTCTCTCTCTCGCTCTTTTGATCCTTTCTTGACCTTCTGGAGTCTTGTCAAGTTCGATCTGGATTCTTTGTCTGCACTCAGCATTGTGAGCTCGGCTTGGCATCTCAAGTATTGCTGCTTCACATCCAGGACACAAAGGTGTGTGCCCATGCTTTTCCAAGTCATTCTTGGTGACATAGAGGTTCCTTGGGATCACTTCTTGCACTGCAGGCCTTTCACGAGGCGCTGCAACATCGGGAAGGGCGATCCTCAGTCCACCATGTTCTCGTTCTTGCAACCTCCAAGGAAGGCCACGTAGCGAGTCAAACTGATCATGTTTGAACTGATCGTCAGGTGGGCGTCGATGGATCGAGTTCCCCTTCATGATTCCACGTTCCGTCATGACAAAGACGTCTGAATTTCTGTTTCCAGTTCCAACGTACATCCCAATGGATACCCTTGGAGCAAGGTCATTTCTCTTGCCCCCACGATTGGCCCTCGGCCTATACAGGATGCTTTCACCGAACCTCACAAGCGGAATCCGCCATTTTCGTCCATAGGTCCGCTCAAAAGCGGTCTTTCCATCAGTACCTACTCGGTATCTCGTCAAGAGAAAGGCAGCATGCCGCGGGAGCCAAACCAAAAGTGGATGGCCCGGATCTACCTTCCTTTCCAGCTTGAACTCCAGGTCGCTGAGGAGAGCACGACATTGTCGTTTTATCTCTCGCACTCCCACTTCGATAAACCCATTGGCTTGATGGTCTTCTACTGGGGTTTCCACCAAGTGCACTTCGATGTGGGTCTTTATCTCCTTAACCTTCTGTTTAAGGGATACCAAGGAGGGTTCACCGTCAGACTTAAGGATTACCTTATTAAAACCAGCATCATCCAAAACTCCCCCAAGCCACGCGATTGCGAACGCATCCGCCCCTTTTCCCGGGAGAACGCTCGCCCAAAATCTCTTGGTCTTGTGGCACTTCACCACAATGCTCGGAAGGGTCGCCTCATCCGCAACCTGGTCCTGGTTCATATAGAAGTAGTCCAGGCTCAGTGTGGGCAACTGCGTTTCTGGCTCATCAAGTTCCTTAGGCACATGGCGATCAGCAGTCACACGTGCCCTTTTGCAGTGCAAGCACCAGCTCCGATGGACAACATGTCCAGTGCTTTCATGTTCGTCAACTTCAGCTTGGGATGGTTGATGTGGTTCTTTCTTCACAATGGCTTTCCTCTGTTCTTCACCGATTTCCAAATCAACTTCATCTTCAAAGGCATCTGCTCCGGCTGAAGCAGCTGGAACATCGCCTGAGGACCCTGCTCCGGCCGAAGCGGCTGAAACATCGCCTCCATCTTCCATGGCATCGGCTCCGGCTGAAACAGCTGGATCCTCGCCAACAGCGTTGATTTGTGGTCTTACTCCTCTTGGGGATGCCCCTGAAAAGGTGACACCCAATAGTCCAACACATAGATGCCTCGGCGATTGTGCACAATGGGCATTGAATCGCCATAATCTCGGATCAGATCTTTCATGGCCTTCGAATAGGCCCGTCCCGCAGGAGTGTTTCTTGGGATCAATCTCCCCGAAGATGGTCCAAGGGCGATGTGGTAGTTCTTGGCGATCTCGGAACCTGAAAGAAGTGGCCGATGCACATCTGCAACTCGGCAATCGATTGGGATCTTGTTGCCAGATTCGTCGTATCCCACCAGCTTCACACTTCCCTGATCTTCGACGGGTTCCGCATTGGCTGCCTTGTAGCTTGCTCCATTGGACTCGCTCCTCGGGTAGTCCTTGGCGAAGTCAAGTGGTACTGCAGTGATGGCAGCACCGGTGTCGATGTTCAACTCTGCTCGTTCCCATTTTCGCCAGTCGTCAGAGGCCCCCAAGCTGTAGACTGCAGCAGGAGCCGATCCAGCTCCACCATCGGGGTCTCCTCTGCCTGGTCGGTCTCGAGGCTCATCAGGCTCTTCGATGTAGACCTCTTCCATTTCATCATCATCTTCATCTGCGTTCACTTCAGTGTTTTCCTTCAGAACCAAGGCTGGTCGGTTCTTCCTCGCCATCTTGCGCGCCACATTGCGGTTGCGATTCTTCTTCACCCTGTACCCAACGCTTCGAACACGCTTGGTCATGGGTTTCTTCTTGGGGTCCTTCTGCAGCAACTTGGCCTCGTCGTCCGGGAACTGCCTCAAGGTTTCCCGCTCTTCCGCTGAAAACTCTATCACTGTGCTCTGACCAGCTTTGCCCACAACCACCGTCTCGATGCCCGCATCCAAGTTGTCTTCATCCTCGATTCTCACTATGCCTTCTGGATTTTCTGGGTTGTCAAAGCGTTCATGCCATTCTTTGTCAAGTCGAATCCTTTCAGCCGCACGTGCCTTGACTCCTCCTCGTCGGTGGACGATTGCACGTCTTCTCAAACGTTCATTTCTCCAGGCCACATTGTGTGCAACACCTTTGGCAATCTCGGCATGGTATCTCGAGTCGTGGAAAGAAGGATCGCTGATGTTCTGCTTTGTGATGTGCGGTGCCTTGACAGATCTGTTCCTCAAAGCCGCTAACATCGCATCTGACTGGCCATCTCCTGAGCCAGGATCTTCCTCTTGGGCTTTGCGGATTTGCGAACTCAGCGCAGCCTTCAGCATCTGGACAAGTCGAGAACCTGAAGTCGAGGCTGCCGATGATGCCTTGACAGGTGGTGGTGGCTTCACCTGAGAGCTTTGCCATCCCGGTGGTGGACATGGCGGAGTCTTGGGTGAAGCTACTTGGCTTTGCCATCCTGGTGGTGGTCCTGGTGGAGTCTTGGGCGAGGCTATCGGCTGTTGTGGAGGTGATGCAGGCCATGCTATAGGTGTCGGTGGTGTCTTTGGCAAAGGTGTAGAGCTACGAAGAAGTTCTTCTGGAGTCTGTGGCCCATGCCTCAACCTTCTCCTTGGTGGTGGTGTCATCGAAGTCATTCGAAAGCGTCGGAGTGCTGACTCCGGAGTGACTGGCCCTGATCTGCTTGCTTTGCCTCTCTTTGGTGTTGAGCTCTTTGGACTTCTGCCCCTCTTGGGTCTTCCCTGTGGCGTTCGAGGTGCCTTGGAAGACGCGGACTTGGATGTAGTGGTCTCGTGCTCGGTGACCTCCTCCAGTCGAAGCGACCGAAGGGGTCTTGAGCCACTCGATCCACTCGGTCCATCATAGTCGGGGTCGTCCCACTCTTCAGGCCATGACGCACGTGGGTGAGGCAAAGAAAACCACCTTCTGCGACTTGTCGAGGCTTCCGACTCCTCGGACTCGGGATCGACCTGGAAACTTTCGTCGTCATCCTCGTCATGTGGTGGCCCATCAACACCATAGAGCGTTAAACCATTTGCTGCTTGTTGACCATCGTCGCCATCAGCTGCGTCCCAGTCTTCTGCTTCTGGTTCACCTTGTTCGACATTGTTCACAGATTTGCCTCCTTTGGGCTTCTGCTTGTGCTTTCCGGGGCTGCCTTTGCCCTTGCCCTTGTCCTTATTCTGATTGCTGTTGCCTTTGCCACCCGTCCCCTTATGTTTGGGGCCTCCAGGTGCCCAGCAATCTGCCCGCAGATGTCCTGGGCGTCCGCAGTTGTGACATGTCCTCTTCTCAGCTGTTGCATTTCCCTTTCCAGGTTTTCCTCCAGCTCCCTTCTTGCCCTTACCTTTTCCCTTTGCATCTTTTCCAAAGCTTCCGACATCCATAGGATCGTCCCCACGGCCATGTGCGTCGTAGGGCTGGCTGTTCACCACCTTGATCTTGTTGCCGGTGGCATGTTCCACATAGGACTGGATCTCGGACAGCATGGACTCGAACGTCTTGAAGCGATCTCGATTGAGAACGAGATGACGCTCGAGCTCTGCCGGCACCAATCGTTCAATCACGTTGATCTTGATGTCTTCTGCCAACATCGTTCGGTTGCCAGATGCGTCTTTGCGACGTTCATAAAGTCTGATGCTGTCAAGAAGCTTCTCCAGGTTGGACGGCAAATCTTCCATCTTGGATCGAGCCGGTGACAAGATTGCATTGAGGAGAGCGCTTTTGCGACCACCAGTGGATGGGTCGTACCTCCGCGTGAGCTTTCTCCAGCTTTCGATGCCGCATTCCCCGGTGTTCAGCACGATGTCAAAGGGCTCACGCTCTGTCAGCATTAGCAGCGCGTCCCAAAGCTCGCGTCTCAATTCACTGATGTTCGACACCTGGTCAATGGCATCTGCTTGACTCCCAAAAGCCTTGTCGATGTCATCTGCAGTGATTGCATGATCGCAATCTTCGGCCCAAACCAGAATCTCACGAAGGTCTTTGCGAACACTTGCAAGATAGGAGGACGTCTTGATTTTCCATGACAAGAATCTTTCGGCTGTCCCATCAAACTTGTCGGGCTTGCCAAGGCCCTTGTTGTCGACCAACCGGACTTGTTCTTTCGATCTAAGGGCGTCCACAAGCTCCTTTTGTGACTGCACCAACTGTGCCAGTGCACTGCCAGGTCCAGCTGAAGCAGCCGAACCGGCACCAAAAGAAGCGACCTGTGCTGTCAGTTCAGCTTCCCGGCCTCTTAGTCGATTGACCTCGGTCTGTAGTTCCTGGAGCGACTGGAGGACCTGTGCCGCTTGTTGTTGGTCCATTGCTAAGACCCTGGAGCGTATCGCTCCGCTACCATGAACGGAGAATATGCAACTCGCTATTTTAGCAGCGGTGTTCTTGAGCCAAAGGTTGGCGTAGCAACTAGTGAGAACCCTATATCCCGTCAAATATACATTAAGATACATACATATATAGATATATAATATATGGTTAATACATATATACATATATATATACATATATATACATATATATATATATACATATTATACGATATTGATCGATATTGTAAGCCTTTTCTCACATATATCCATCCCAAATCTTCTTGACGTCACCTCAAGGAGGCCATGTTCACGTAATCTTCTTCCAGCATGACCTAGGAAAGCTCCACCGAACTCCACCGGTGACGGATCTATGAATCCACGAAACGAATAGATCCGGTGAAATAATCCATCGGATTACTGAATGAATAGATTATATATGATTATATTGTCACCAAGAATCAGAGTGAAATTCATGGTGAGATATGCAGAAAAAAATCAGGGTCTATTAATCCAGAGTAGAGTGGACATTACTGGCATGATCTGGCATGGCCAATCTTAGATAAACTACCAAAGTACCCGAGGTTGACCTAGGAAATAGACTTCAACCAAACCATGATGTGTTTTTTTTCGGATGAAAACTTGGGTGTGTTCAGCTTGAAAAGTATGGATTCAACCATCAAACATGGAAATTCAACCATGACAAATGGGGAGACATTCGTTCGAAACTGGGAATTCACCATCAAGAATTGATGCTTTATATATGTAATTTAAAGATACCCTCTGGTAAACTAACATAACTATGGAAAATCACAATTTTTAATGGGAAAATGGCCATTTTCAATAGCTATGTTAGTTTACCAGAGTGTAAAGTATGGGATCCCGTTACAGATCGTCTGCAACACATGGATGGCTGGGAAATTGGAACCTTCGAAAGTCATCCAACCAGCGTTCTACCATGGGACGTCTACCCGTTCTGATTTTCCAGAGCGTTTGAGAAATCCTTTTCCACCTCTCAGCCTGTTCCATACCCTTCAGAATATCCAGGAAACTTTTTGCAGCCATTTTTACCCACTTCATAACCATTCATGGTGGTAATAATTAATGGGTTATAAATCCCCAGTGTGCTATCATTTTTTCCCAGTTATTATAATCCATTCATAACATTGGGATATTATATCATTATAAATTATATCCCAGTTATTATTATAACATTGATTATAAATCATAACGCAGTTGATTATAGTTATAGTTATTATAAATCCCACCATTAATGGGTTACAATCCCACTATTCCCCAGTGTAGAAAAAATTGCCTCCCCATTTCAATTCCCACTGACCTTGCCGATGAAAATAGATCGCCAAATCCACTAGATTTCCGCTTTCCGTAGATCATCGCCACACCCACATGGGGGTGGAACATAAATGGGGCTATCCAAAAATGGTTGGTTTATAATGGGAAATCCCATTAAAGTGGATGCTTTGGGGGTATCCATATTTTAGGAAACCTCCACATCTTTAAAATAAACATCAAGGCACTCGCATGCGGCGCAACACGCTGCCGGCACTTTCGGCAATCTTGCCCTCTCTGGTGTCAGCGATCTGGGCAGGGCTGGGGCTGGTGGTTTCAACGGAAAAAAATTGTAATTTGAAGATTTAGATCCTACCAACTAAATGGGGCAAATCTGAGTACATTTTGTAAAATGCCATCGCCAGCGAAATTTTTCATTATTCACGAGGCAACATGCCATCAAACGTGGCAACCTGGAAGATCCTATATATTTATAGATGAACTACCCTCTGGTAAACATACAAAAAACTATTGAAAATGGCCATATATAGTGGATTTACCAATTAAAAACAGTGATTTTCCATAGCTATGTTAGTTTACCAGAGGGTATTATGAAAATCTCCATTTAAAGTGGATGTTGATTGATTTTCCAGCCATGTTTGATTGCCATGTCGGGTATGTTTGACCAAAACACAACTTGAGACCCGTGAGACGACTTGAAGCCACGAAGCCTGCAGAAAAAAAACAGGGCCAGCAAACTCATGGAGATCAAGAAATCATATGTTTATGTATAATGGATTAGTATAATAAAATATAATACAATATAATGAAATATAATATAATATAATACAATATAATAATATAATATAATATAATATAATATAATATGATATAATATAATATAATATAATAATAATAATATAATATAATATAATATAACATAATATAATAATAATAATATAATATAATATAATATAATATAATATGATATAATATAACTTATTACATATGATATTATATTACGTATTGCAGTATATTATATTATGTTATGTTATATTATTATACTATATTATATTACATTATATCATATTATATCATATTACAAATTATATATTTTGTATTATTTTGAAGTAGTTTATATCATTTTATGTCATATTATATTATATATATACTATATCTTACTGTATCCCACCACAACACATGTTTTTAGTAATTTCTCAGGAATAAGAAACCACAGCCCCACAGCAAAATATTGGAGTGCCCAGTGCCATCTTATGGGATGCACAAACCCGGCGCCAGCTTCTCGAATTTTGGATCTACCCAGTGGGCAGCAACTGGTAAGCGCCGATGTTACCAGTTTGTATCACTTTGTACATGGGATAATGCTGCTCGAAGTAAATTACCCATAATCACTAGAATACATTTCTATAATTAATCCCATTTTATAAACCATTTATGATAATCATATACATTACGACATTACCCATAATCATTCATCACTAGAAACTTTAATCCCATTTATACATGTTGCTTCGATAAAGTTTCCCTCTGAGCATGAGCACCGAATACGCCAGGACGGGCTTCCTACAGTGGCGACTGGGGCGCTGGAATGTAGAAGGAACCCGGTGGGACATGGGTTGATCAGTTCATAACTGAAAATGTTGGGAAACCATGGGAAAGCCATAAAAATTCAGACAGGTTTCAAAAATCATGGTTCCTATGAAATAACCATTTACATCTTGGGTGACAAACCTCGTAATGGCAAAATGGGGGAACTTACCCAAGAACATCTGGGTCTAATTGGAGGCTGTACTTTCCACGTTAAAAAAAAACACTGGAAAGGGAAGATTCTCTGCATTTCATGCCTCGCAATCTCAATTCCAAAGATGAAATGGCTACCCTCCGGCAATCAAAAATAACAATTGAAAATCTCCGAACTAAATGGAGGTTAGTTCACTCGGAAAATCAACCAACGAAAGCCAAGGGTAACCTTAGATACCGCAAGAAATGTCAACCACCAAACCAACGGAATTCACAGATTAAAGAATGGCTCGATATGGAGGTTTCCTAAAATAGGGGATCCCCAATAGCTGGATTGTTTTTTTCAGGGAAAATCCATCCACCAACAGATGATCTAGGGGTACCCCGAATTTAGGAAACAACCAGAATTTGGTTGATTCTATCCATCAATGTTGAAGAGTACAGTATTGTCTTCTATATGTCTAGTTGACTCGTTCCCATTGTGTCTCAAAAAAGCTTAGTCTCTGGTTATCTTTCACCAAATCGGTGGTCAAGGTACCAGGTACCAAAATTCTTGGATGGTTATATAATACTAACCATAGATTTACCCGTTGGTAAATTAACATAGCTATGGAAAATGGCCATAGAAATAGTGGATTTTCCCATCAAAAATTGTGATTTTCCATAGTTATGTAAACGTTTACCATAGATTTACCCGTTGGTAATTCAACAGTTCGCTATGGAAAATCCCCCTTTTTTCCATGTTTCAATGATTTTCATGGCTAGGCGCGGCCACGGGGATGTCCCTTTGCCAGCCATGTTGACACCGGAGGTCAAAAATTCATTCGTGACCATTCTTAACAATTAGAAAATCATTAGAATATCATTAGTCAATTTAATGGACTAATCATTAGTCAATTTAATGGTGATTTATGGTGACTAATGATTAGTCCATTTCACAATTATAATTGTCAATTATGGTCACTAATTGCCATTATATTACCAATAATAATTGTCATTAATAGCTAATAATAAGTCACTTAGTCAATTTAATGTTAATAATTGTCAATTTAATGGTCACCAATGAAAATTACCAATTATTGACTAATCATTAGTCACCATAAATCACCATAATTGACAATTATTAACATTAAAAAGAAATCCTCAATGGTTGTTGACAATCAACCAACCAAGTAAGCAATTAACCAATTAACCAGTGTGTTCATGTTTTCCCCTGATCAACCATTATCAACCATCATTATACCATCATCAACTATAATTAACCATTGTTCACCATAAGTCCCCATTATTATAACAGAATTATAAACCAAAACATGTATATATGTGATATAGTTATATATATGTATAACTATATCGCCTTTGTATTCTTACACGTAGTGCATTATTGGCCATTGACTAACTATATTATTTAGGACTATAAACCACGATATTACAAATATTAGTAACCATTAATGTGGTTAAAACAATGCCATAAACCATCCCCCAGTTATCACAATTTTTATAGATGGTATGTTTACCATTCCCAGTCATGGGTGGTTTATGGCACTGTTTTACCCACATTAGTCCCAATAGTAGTTAATAGTTGGTTAGAACCCACGATGGTCATATTTAAATCCCATTAAACCACCATGAAACCACAATTGTCCTTCGTTTATGGCATTCTTTTTCCCACATCAAAAAAACTATGGTTATAAGGATTTTTTTTTTTCCTTGCCACCTGGTAATTTAACGTAGCTATTGAAAATGGCCATTTATAGTGGAGTTTCCCATTAAAAATGGTGATTTTCCATAGTTATTTGTAGGTTTACCAGAGGGTACCACCTGGAAAAAAAATAGAAAAGATGATGGTGGGATGACCATACGAGTACCACCATGAGACCACCATTTTCCGGGATCCCAGCTGCCCCACCCCAACCTATTCATGCTGAAGCTGTGTCGGCCGCCACCATGGGGTCGGGTACGATCTTCGGGCCTTAGCTGAACAACGCTTGGGTTTGGGTGGAAGGAGTCTGAGGAAGCCCTGAAAAATGCTGGGATTTAATGGGATTCAATGGGATTTGATTGGAATTAATGGGATTTCATTGGGATTTAATGGAATATAATGGGGATTTAATGGGATATAATAGGGATATCATGGGGATATATATATATAATTGTGATTTGATGGGATTTGATTGTGATTGAACGGTGATTTAATGTGGATACAATGGGGATTTAATGGGATTTAACTGACACCATCAGTTGAACTGACTAATCCCATCCCCGTTTCATATTGAACACCCCTCAGAAACCATGTTGTTTTAGGGATTAACAAAAACAACACATATTGGGGGACCAGCTAGGGTGTGTTTAGTATTAGCGGGATGTGATTCTTCGCTGTATAGTTGAAGTTACTTAACCAAATTGGCGGTTTCATGAAATTTTGAGAGGTGCATCAACAATCAAAGTATATACTTCGTAGACAGTCAGCCATTAACAATTGTATTATAATTTGATTATGGTTCAAAGAAATTATGGTAATATTCTGAAATAAGAAAATATGACTTGTGGCTGGTTGTTGGTGGAGGTGTCTCACTAAAAAAAACATAAAAATTCAAGATTCACCAAATGGCATCTTGAATAAACGAACTGCTGAATATGTAGTATTCCCTGCATCAACCAACACGAACTTCGAAACCCTGTTTATGTACTGAATTTGTTCATTTTGGGTATCAACTAGTCAGTTCGACAAGGGCATTCATCGTTGCAATTGCGAACGGGAGGTTAAAAAAAACTGTCCGACCACCACTCATCCATGCAAAAAGAAATGTTTTACCAGCAATCGGACGAAAGAAAACGCTGGGTCCGTTTCTTGCGCCTCAAATATCAAACTTATATTTCCAGCGCAATGCAGTTATACAAACTTATGTGTATGATGTATGCATATGCATATATGATATATACACACATGCATGTTTATATATATATATCATAACATGTATATATATATTATATAATATAATCATATTATATTAAAGTTTGAGGCGTTTCGGCCGCGAGTGAAGATCAAACTAGCAGTTTTGAATGGTTTTGACCAGCGATGGGTTTGTGGGAGAATTGGGTACCCCAGATGGCTGATCTTCATGTTCCCTAAATTTTCCCTATGACAATTGCAACCTGTGGGGATATACCCTCTGGTAAACTAACATGGCTATTGAAAATGGCCATAGAAATAGTGAGTTTTCCCATTAAAAATGGTGATGTTCCATAGTTATGTTAGTTTACCAGAGGGGATATGGACTGTACCACCGTTTCAGACACACCCACATTTTTCCAAGAGACCATGTTCAGAATCTGTCGAATGAAACAGCGATTCTGGAATCTCCATACCAATTCCGAGACCCGGGGGGTTGTTAAACATCGTTAGAGCACCCAAAAGCGGAGTTGATGGCGGTAAGCTCAATGATCAACCATCCCCACCAGATAAATTCTTCGATCCCCGAATGGTTTATTTAAGAGTTTTGTTGGGTTTACAACAACCCTAAACCCCAAAAGGAACTGAAACAATCTATGGATTGACAGTCCGCTTACAAAGTCTTTGTCCACATATGGCTGGTTTACATCCATGAAATGGTTGGCTTAACCAATAACATGATGAGTTGGTCAATTCCCCCAATGCATGGCTGCTTAAATCCCATTTTTGTTGTTGAACTATGGTTACCTAGGGTAAACTAACATAGAAACATAGATGTGGAAAACCCATGCTTTCCCCAGGAAAATGATCTTCCCTTCGTTTTCCACGTCTATATTAGTTTACTGGGGATTCACTGGTGAATTCCCCCCAGTTTTCGGCGAAAAATCCTCAGAACAAAAAAATGTGTTTGACCCGGTCACTTCACGTTGCGCATCACCGTCCGGGGCTCCACATCCTGTGATGAGTCTTTGGCAAGCCCCAAATAGAAGAATTTGAAACCTGGACATGATGTTCTTCAGGTTTCCGAAACAAAATTTGGACTTACCAAATGATAGAACAATTGAAATATGTGCTATTCTATGTGTTGGTAAAAAAAATAATTTGGACATTGCGAAACCGTTTCACGTATCATCGCGGACATCCAACGATCTCTGGGATCTGTGAAGATCTAAATCCAGCCGTCCTGGGGGCCTGACTATATTTGAATCATATGTCAATGGATTGGTTTAAGGGAAAATCTACAGGAAACCATGGTTTTTACCATCAAATATAGGGCTTTCCTGTAAATTTTCCCATCATCCAATTCTATGAATATGGCTGAATCCATCATTTAGATGGTGAAAAAAATGGTTGTGTCAATGATGACTCGAACTCAAAATGGCCGGATTGATGGTTGAAACTTATTGAAGTACAAAAAATGTAATTCATTTAGATTGAAGCTACCCCATAGGATCCATGGTGCTGCCATATATGGTAACATTTACCATGAATATACCCCCAATGTTAGCATATATACCAGCACCATGGATCCTATGGCTACATGAAGTTACATCATTTTTGTTGGCACATCACCACCTTTCTCGGCTTCTCGGCGGCGCCTCATGAGCAAATTGCACCCCACGAACCAAGCTGTTTCCAGCCTGCGTGGGGATCTCCCAGTGGGACCATGTGCTAAGGGTACGATAGAAGTTGGAATTAGCGCCTCACTGCAGTGGTGTAATCTAGTACAATATATTTCAGTATCGTGTACCCTCCGGTAAACTAACATAACTATGGAAATTGGCCCATTTATCGTTGATCTACCTATTATAAATTATAAATGGTGATCTTCCATAGCTATGTAAACGTTTACCAGAGGGTAATATTCGATGATCATCATGGACGATGAATAAAACGCTGTGGAATCTGGTCACATCCCACATCCGACACGAAGCTGGGATGCAACAGTCACGAGCATCTGCGGAGTTAGACCTCACTCTTGCAGACCCATCCTTTTGTTGTATGTTTCATGGTTAAATATGCAAATATAATATAATATAATATAATACAATATAATATGATATAATATGATATGATATAATATGATATGATATGACTCGATATTATATATATATACACATTTTGGAAATCTTCCGACACTGCGACCTCGATCTCTAGTGGTCATTTGGATTCCCGAAAAAATCAAGTGATGACAGAACATGTTTTCATCTTTGGCTGAATTTTGTAGTTTGAAATACGGTGATTTGGGGACATCTTTTTCATAATTTGTTATTACCGTCATTTACATATAACTCAGCCCAATAACGTGGAAACCATTCATCAGGCTGTGATTTGCAATGAAACCTGGCTGACATGTCAAGTCGCCCTTACTTCCCTGAAATATTAGTGATCGATCTGGTGTACACTCCCTAAATTCAAGATGGAATCCCAATAAATGGTTATAAGATATCATATCCCAATAGCTAATAATGGAATCCCAATATATTCTAGATGGAGTCTGGAACATGATTCATGGTGTAGTGGATCTAGCCATTTCTGGCTGTCGTAAATCAGCTCAAAATCATCATTCGTGAAATCGTCCACTGGGCTCATCATTCTGGAGCTCTACTAGTTGACCCATTTGTATCCCGTGAGTATTTATAAATTTCCCTTTAATTGGTGGTACCCTCTGGTAATTTAACATAGCTATTGAAAATAGCCATTTATAGTGGATTTACCCATTGAAAATGATGATTTTCCATAGATATGTTAGTTTACCAGAGGGTAATGAAATGTGGTAAACCCCGATTCTGGTTGTTAATCTTTGGGTCACAAGCTCTAAGACTAGTCACCCTCCACCGAGTAGGGGAACGACCTGTCAGCCCAACAGATCACCGGCTACGTACTTTTCCCGCTGGCGCCGTTTTGACGTCAAGCAGAAAACCGGTGAAACGGCTGCTTTCACATGGACCGTAGCATGGCATAGCATGGCTAATCTTAGATACTCCAGACCACAAAAGAACTGGTTTTAATCACGAAAAACGCAATTATAGTAGATCAATGATGCATCAATTATAGATCAACTCTCTTAGCAACAGGATTAGCTGTACAGTTATAGATTAAAAATGATTAAAATGGCAATCAATCAAGTCATTGACCTACCCTACCGGCATCTACCGGCTACCCAGTGACCGCCACTGGATGGTCCCAATGTGGCCAGGTGTTTAATATGAACGGGGGGATGGGAGTACAAAAATCCACCATTGAAGTAGATGATGTTCATTGATGAATCCCGAACAAAAAACCTCCATTTTTTCATTTCAGCGCTTTCCGATGCAATGTGTGACCCGAGGGTAAATCAAAGACAGAAACCCATCAGCCCGATGGCAATCATCTCCAGCTTTGATAGAGATGTCTAAATCCCATCTTTTGCTAACTTTCTTGGTGAAGTTCCCGTTTTGCGCAGTTTCGTGGTCGGTGAAGGTCCTTTTTTTTCGTAGAATAGCCACATTTCTTGGTGAAAGGTCCTAGGTTTTAGCGTGAAGGTGCCATTTTGGTTGGTTGAATCCCAATTTCTTGTTTTTCAGAGTGGAATGCCCCGCTTTATTGTTTGCTTCAACTCACAATTGCTTGGTGTACAAATACATCCCCATCACAGCAACATGTCACCCCCACTATCCCACTTCTATCGTTGATACCTCCATTTTCCTAGCTAACTCCACTTTCTGGTGGTTACACATGTTGGATGCCCATTTTCTGCGGGTTGACAATCCCAGTCTTTGCGGATGACATCCCCAGAAGGGAAGTTCATGGAAAGCAGTTGGCGTTTGGACATCTTCGAAGCAGCATTCCCAGGACAGCCAGGAGCTTGCAACTTTCTGAATGGATCTTTCAGATGTAATGTGAACTTTGGATTTATACACCCTGACTAGCAAGGTTACAGTGAGGAGTGAAATTCCACGAGACATTAGACATGGTAGTCAAACAGGGGCGTGTCAATCCGGGGTTGTTTGCATTAGAAAAGCAAGCCCGCTTGCTACGTCTCGAACTTGCTTGGCCTGCGGCAATCCAACTTGACAATGCAACCTCAGTAGCCTAAAATCGGCGGATGTTGATGGATGTTCTTTGATCGTCCCTTGCCATGTTAGAGTAGTGGGCGGTATACCCCTAATCCATGCACAATCAACAAACATCCCAGCGATGTTCACGTTTTCAGGCTGGGCGGGAGGCTCAAGAGGCGTCCGATTAGTCTTTGCAAATACAGAGTATCGTGACCCCAGAAAATTGGCCAAATGGCCGCGCCCTAAGTGGAACTGACCATCTTCATAGGTTACAGTATATCAAGTTACCCTCTGGTAAACTGACATAACTATGGAAATCACCATTTTTGATAGGTAAATCAACTATAAATAGCCATTTTCAATAGCTATGTTAAATTACCAGAGGGTACTGTATATCAAAGTTATATCGCAAACAATTAGATCCACCCAAGCTATCGCCATTCCATTGGGATGGGTGATGATTGGAATTGGTCTCCACCCACTTTTGTCATGATTTCCACATCCTACCCATTGATGGACATGGGTGAACGGAGAATATGCAACTCGCTATTTTAGCAGCGGTGTTCTTGAGCCAAAGGTTGGCGTAGCAACTAGTGAGAACCCTATATCCCGTCACCCCTCCTGTACAGAGGCTGGGATTTTCCTAAGCTGATGTACACTCATTCCAAAGCCTTTGCAGCTTCGGCTCTACCATGAGAGTACTCGAACCCCATGCTTTGCATGTGTCTTTCCATCTCATTCGCAGGTAAACCTTTGGTGCACAAATCAGCTACGTTCTGCTTTGTCGGGATCTTCACCAGTTCGAATTCATGTAGTGCAAGCTTTTCTTGCACCCACAGAAAGCGAGTTTGAACATGCCGTGAGCGGCCTAAGCCCTGACGGTTACATGTTCCCAGCGCAGTGGATGAATCTGTGTGCACTTTAAGTTTTGGTTGTAGGCCCCATCCTCGCAAGATCTCCTGTAGCGACATTCCGATGGAAACTCCTCGAACGATCGAGTAGTATTCCGCTTCACCGGAACTCAAGCTGATCGTGCTCTGAAGAGTGCTCGAGGCCTTCACCGTGTGGCGGCCAAAGGTTGCCACAAGTCCACTTGTTGAGCGCCTTGTAAGAAGACACCCAGCGAAGTCGGAGTCCACGTACATGTGGATCGTGTCAGCAAACTTCTGGCGACCAAACTTCAAAAGTACACGTGGTTTCCCTTTCAGAAATCTCACCAAGCGTTTCAGATCCTGAAAGTCAGATTCTTTGGGCTCATGCATTCTTCTTGATAGGCATTTCACTGCCTCCGCGATGTCAGGTCTGTCCTGTGCCACATACGACGCTCTCATCACCAGAGACCGGAAGAAACTTACACGGTCCGGTGTGATGGTCGGGGTGGTCAACTTCAAGTTGGCCTCCGTGGCTGACATTTTCTCAGATGGTGTCTTGACTGGCTTACAGTTTTCCATTTCTAGATCTCGTACCATCTGGTCAACGTGGCGGGGGTCCGCCTCATAGGATACAGAGCCTTCCTGCTCGTTGTAGGTCACGATTCGATTGAGCACTGCGAACTGCTGATGCCGTTCTCCAGGACCGATCGATCCATCGACCCGCAGATCATATTTGGACCTCAAGGTGTCCTCAAGGTATTTCTGTCCAGCATCATCAGCAAGCACCACGAAGTCATCTCCGTGTACAAGAACTCGAATACCACCGTAACCTTCATGGTAAAAGCAGGATGGCCAAGCTTGATTCTTGGCAAAACCAGCTCGGATGAGAAGTTCTGTATATGATCTTTGCCAGATCGCTGATGCATCGCGTGTTCCATACATGCTCTTAACGAGCTTGCCACAAAACCCTTCTTGTCGATCTCCTTCAGGTAACTGCACGAAGATATCACGCTCTGCCTCTCCATAGAAGTGAGCGCGTGATATGTCAAGAAGACGAACTTTCAGTGCATTGCCAGACTTGGATCGTCTCAAAGTCACCATAAGCGATAGAAGCAATTTCAGCGATTCCAAAGGCGGCATCGAACTGAAGGACGCATAGTCCGGAATGAAGTCAGCATTGCTGGCCCGTTTGATCTCTCTACAGACCAGACGTGACCTGTAGTTGGGGTGTGTTGCATCCCCTTTGTTTCTGTCAATCCATTTCATGGTGATGACCGGTTTTCCAGACTGTTGGGCTTCTGTGAGTGGAACTTTGATATAGATACCCTGTTTGTGTACCCATGCTAGTTCTTCTTGTCGAGCAGCTCTGACCTTGTCAACATCCAAGACAGCACCGGAGTGTGCGTCAAGCACTGGCTCCACGATGGTGTCATCGCTGTCGGGCAGCTGCTTCCAAAACTCCTCCTCTTCATTGATCACAGGTCCAGCATCGGGTACTGGGCCATGTGAAAGTGAGTGTAGTTCTCCATCACATTCCAGTTGGCGCCTAATGGCCTTGAGAATTGCGTGGACAAGCTTTGGTGGGTATTTCTGGGCAGCTCGGGCTCGTCCATCAACAAGATGTACATGGCGGTGCCAAACTTTGCCTTCTTTGTTTGAACAGCACCCTTGTAGGGTCTGTGCCAGGATTGGAGAGTTCGTGAGCCAGGTAGTTTCTTTCTTCACTGACCCTTCACCTTGGCCATCGGCGGCCTTCATTCCCCAACGGCACATTGGTCCAGTGACCTCATACACCCGTTCATCTGCCCTCAGTCTCTTCACAGCTCTCTCTTCCCACGAAGCGGCCCCTTTAGGGTGCTCATGGTAGAAGTACCTTCCAGCATTCATTTGATGCTCATACGCTGAAACTGCCGTGCGCAGATGTTTGCGACCATCTTTTAGTCTCTGCGCTCGAACTTCAGGTGAAACATTGCCCTTCGCATCCACAATGTTTTGCAGCTTCGAGAATGGCCCACAGGGAGGTGAGCCGCCGAGGAACTCTGGTTTCTCATAGTCAAGCAGTTGAAACAGATCACGAATGTGTTCATCTTTACTCAAGTCCCAGTGAGTTCCATCACCACGCTTTGTCTCCAAGTCAATCGAGAAGCCAGGTGCTAGCCCGACCACTTGGGCTTGTGCAGCCACACGCGGTGGAGAGAAGATCTCAGCAACCTTCCCTTTTGCGATCACATCTTTGAGCAAGGAACACAGATGTAGCATCTCCTGGTTTGTCTCAGGACTTGTTGGTGCAGCGGCAGCACCTTCCGGAACACCAGATGAAGCATCCGGTGCCGGTGGTCCGGCTGACCCTGAAGCCTGAGCTGAAGATTCATTGTAAAGATCTTCAACGTCGACTTGTGAACTCCTTTTCTCTCCTCGGGATTGTTCTTGTTTCTGCCTCTTTGGGCTTCCTTCTCTTTCTTGTTCTCTCTGTCTGAGTTCTCCACGAAAATCGGTGTCGACCAGTGGTTCACCAACAGCCTCACTTGCATCCATTTCCGCATCCAAAGGAACACGGTCTTGCAAGACTGGTTGTTCAACTTCCCCTCCTGGGACAACTGGTGGTGTAGCTTCACCACCTTCTGCCCCACCACCCTCAGGCGGTGCAGCCGCGCCTCTTGGGCGCCTGCCTTGTGCAACTCTCTCTCTCGCTCTTTTGATCCTTTCTTGACCTTCTGGAGTCTTGTCAAGTTCGATCTGGATTCTTTGTCTGCACTCAGCATTGTGAGCTCGGCTTGGCATCTCAAGTATTGCTGCTTCACATCCAGGACACAAAGGTGTGTGCCCATGCTTTTCCAAGTCATTCTTGGTGACATAGAGGTTCCTTGGGATCACTTCTTGCACTGCAGGCCTTTCACGAGGCGCTGCAACATCGGGAAGGGCGATCCTCAGTCCACCATGTTCTCGTTCTTGCAACCTCCAAGGAAGGCCACGTAGCGAGTCAAACTGATCATGTTTGAACTGATCGTCAGGTGGGCGTCGATGGATCGAGTTCCCCTTCATGATTCCACGTTCCGTCATGACAAAGACGTCTGAATTTCTGTTTCCAGTTCCAACGTACATCCCAATGGATACCCTTGGAGCAAGGTCATTTCTCTTGCCCCCACGATTGGCCCTCGGCCTATACAGGATGCTTTCACCGAACCTCACAAGCGGAATCCGCCATTTTCGTCCATAGGTCCGCTCAAAAGCGGTCTTTCCATCAGTACCTACTCGGTATCTCGTCAAGAGAAAGGCAGCATGCCGCGGGAGCCAAACCAAAAGTGGATGGCCCGGATCTACCTTCCTTTCCAGCTTGAACTCCAGGTCGCTGAGGAGAGCACGACATTGTCGTTTTATCTCTCGCACTCCCACTTCGATAAACCCATTGGCTTGATGGTCTTCTACTGGGGTTTCCACCAAGTGCACTTCGATGTGGGTCTTTATCTCCTTAACCTTCTGTTTAAGGGATACCAAGGAGGGTTCACCGTCAGACTTAAGGATTACCTTATTAAAACCAGCATCATCCAAAACTCCCCCAAGCCACGCGATTGCGAACGCATCCGCCCCTTTTCCCGGGAGAACGCTCGCCCAAAATCTCTTGGTCTTGTGGCACTTCGCCACAATGCTCGGAAGGGTCGCCTCATCCGCAACCTGGTCCTGGTTCATATAGAAGTAGTCCAGGCTCAGCGTGGGCAACTGCGTTTCTGGCTCATCAAGTTCCTTAGGCACATGGCGATCAGCAGTCACACGTGCCCTTTTGCAGTGCAAGCACCAGCTCCGATGGACAACATGTCCAGTGCTTTCATGTTCGTCAACTTCAGCTTGGGATGGTTGATGTGGTTCTTTCTTCACAATGGCTTTCCTCTGTTCTTCACCGATTTCCAAATCAACTTCATCTTCAAAGGCATCTGCTCCGGCTGAAGCAGCTGGAACATCGCCTGAGGACCCTGCTCCGGCCGAAGCGGCTGAAACATCGCCTCCATCTTCCATGGCATCGGCTCCGGCTGAAACAGCTGGATCCTCGCCAACAGCGTTGATTTGTGGTCTTACTCCTCTTGAGGATGCCCCTGAAAAGGTGACACCCAATAGTCCAACACATAGATGCCTCGGCGATTGTGCACAATGGGCATTGAATCGCCATAATCTCGGATCAGATCTTTCATGGCCTTCGAATAGGCCCGTCCCGCAGGAGTGTTTCTTGGGATCAATCTCCCCGAAGATGGTCCAAGGGCGATGTGGTAGTTCTTGGCGATCTCGGAACCTGAAAGAAGTGGCCGATGCACATCTGCAACTCGGCAATCGATTGGGATCTTGTTGCCAGATTCGTCGTATCCCACCAGCTTCACACTTCCCTGATCTTCGATGGGTTCCGCATTGGCTGCCTTGTAGCTTGCTCCATTGGACTCGCTCCTCGGGTAGTCCTTGGCGAAGTCAAGTGGTACTGCAGTGATGGCAGCACCGGTGTCGATGTTCAACTCTGCTCGTTCCCATTTTCGCCAGTCGTCAGAGGCCCCCAAGCTGTAGACTGCAGCAGGAGCCGATCCAGCTCCACCATCGGGGTCTCCTCTGCCTGGTCGGTCTCGAGGCTCATCAGGCTCTTCGATGTAGACCTCTTCCATTTCATCATCATCTTCATCTGCGTTCACTTCAGTGTTTTCCTTCAGAACCAAGGCTGGTCGGTTCTTCCTCGCCATCTTGCGCGCCACATTGCGGTTGCGATTCTTCTTCACCCTGTACCCAACGCTTCGAACACGCTTGGTCATGGGTTTCTTCTTGGGATCCTTCCGCAGCAACTTGGCCTCGTCGTCCGGGAACTGCCTCAAAGTTTTCCGCTCTTCCATTGAAAACTCTATCACTGTGCTCTGACCAGCTTTGCCCACAACCACCGTCTCGATGCCCGCATCCAAGTTGTCTTCATCCTCGATTCTCACTATGCCTTCTGGATTTTCTGGGTTGTCAAAGCGTTCATGCCATTCTTTGTCAAGTCGAATCCTTTCAGCCGCACGTGCCTTGACTCCTCCTCGTCGGTGGACGATTGCACGTCTTCTCAAACGTTCATTTCTCCAGGCCACATTGTGTGCAACACCTTTGGCAATCTCGGCATGGTATCTCGAGTCGTGGAAAGAAGGATCGCTGATGTTCTGCTTTGTGATGTGCGGTGCCTTGACAGATCTAGTCCTCAAAGCCGCTAACATCGCATCTGCCTGGCCATCTCCTGAACCAGGATCTTCTTCTTGGACTTTGCGGATTTGTGAACTCAGCGCAGCCTTCAGCATCTGGACAAGTCGAGAACCTGAAGTCGAAGCTGCCGATGATGCCTTGACAGGTGGTGGTGGCTTCACCTGAGAGCTTTGCCATCCCGGTGGTGGACATGGCGGAGTCTTGGGTGAAGCTACTTGGCTTTGCCATCCTGGTGGTGGTCCTGGTGGAGTCTTGGGCGAGGCTATCGGCTGTTGTGGAGGTGATGCAGGCCATGCTATAGGTGTCGGTGGTGTCTTTGGCAAAGGTGTAGAGCTACGAAGAAGTTCTTCTGGAGTCTGTGGCCCATGCCTCAACCTTCTCCTTGGTGGTGGTGTCATCGAAGTCATTCGAAAGCGTCGGAGTGCTGACTCCGGAGTGACTGGCTCTGATCTGCTTGCTTTGCCTCTCTTTGGTGTTGAGCTCTTTGGACTTCTGCCCCTCTTGGGTCTTCCCTGTGGCGTTCGAGGTGCCTTGGAAGACGCGGACTTGGATGTAGTGGTCTCGTGCTCGGTGACCTCCTCCAGTCGAAGCGACCGAAGGGGTCTTGAGCCACTCGATCCACTCGGTCCATCATAGTCGGGGTCGTCCCACTCTTCAGGCCATGACGCACGTGGGTGAGGCAAAGAAAACCACCTTCTGCGACTTGTCGAGGCTTCCGACTCCTCGGACTCGGGATCGACCTGGAAACTTTCGTCGTCATCCTCGTCATGTGGTGGCCCATCAACGCCATAGAGCGTTAAACCATTTGCTGCTTGTTGACCATCGTCGCCATCAGCTGCGTCCCAGTCTTCTGCTTCTGGTTCACCTTGTTCGACATTGTTCACAGATTTGCCTCCTTTGGGCTTCTGCTTGTGCTTTCCGGGGCTGCCTTTGCCCTTGCCCTTGTCCTTATTCTGATTGCTGTTGCCTTTGCCACCCGTCCCCTTATGTTTGGGGCCTCCAGGTGCCCAGCAATCTGCCCGCAGATGTCCTGGGCGTCCGCAGTTGTGACATGTTCTCTTCTCAGCTGTTGCATTTCCCTTTCCAGGTTTTCCTCCAGCTCCCTTCTTGCCCTTACCTTTTCCCTTCGCATCTTTTCCAAAGCTTCCGACATCCATAGGATCGTCCCCACGGCCATGTGCGTCGTAGGGCTGGCTATTCACCACCTTGATCTTGTTGCCGGTGGCATGTTCCACATAGGACTGGATCTCGGACAGCATGGACTCGAACGTCTTGAAGCGATCTCGATTGAGAACGAGATGACGCTCGAGCTCTGCCGGCACCAATCGTTCAATCACGTTGATCTTGATGTCTTCTGCCAACATCGTTCGGTTGCCAGATGCGTCTTTGCGACGTTCATAAAGTCTGATGCTGTCAAGAAGCTTCTCCAGGTTGGACGGCAAATCTTCCATCTTGGACCGAGCCGGTGACAAGATTGCATTGAGGAGAGCGCGTTTGCGACCACCAGTGGATGGGTCGTACCTCCGCGTGAGCTTTCTCCAGCTTTCGATGCCGCATTCCCCGGTGTTCAGCACGATGTCAAAGGGCTCACGCTCTGTCAGCATTAGCAGCGCGTCCCAAAGCTCGCGTCTCAATTCACTGATGTTCGACACCTGGTCAATGGCATCTGCTTGACTCCCAAAAGCCTTGTCGATGTCATCTGCAGTGATTGCATGATCGCAATCTTCGGCCCAAACCAGAATCTCACGAATGTCTTTGCGAACACTTGCAAGATAGGAGGACGTCTTGATTTTCCATGACAAGAATCTTTCGGCTGTCCCATCAAACTTGTCGGGCTTGCCAAGGCCCTTGTTGTCGACCAACCGGACTTGTTCTTTCGATCTAAGGGCGTCCACAAGCTCCTTTTGTGACTGCACCAACTGTGCCAGTGCACTGCCAGGTCCAGCTGAAGCAGCCGAACCGGCACCAAAAGAAGCGACCTGTGCTGTCAGTTCAGCTTCTCGGCCTCTTAGTCGATTGACCTCGGTCTGTAGTTCCTGGAGCGACTGGAGGACCTGTGCCGCTTGTTGTTGGTCCATTGCTAAGACCCTGGAGCGTATCGCTCCGCTACCATGAACGGAGAATATGCAACTCGCTATTTTAGCAGCGGTGTTCTTGAGCCAAAGGTTGGCGTAGCAACTAGTGAGAACCCTATATCCCGTCAATGGGACATATACTGACATATATATATATATATACGTATATAGAAGATTATAGAAGCTCCTAAGATTTGGGCCATCCTCGGAAAACTGCTCGGACGCTGGGTCACTCAGCTCCGAAAAACAGCTCTGCTCTGCCTGGCGGCGGGATTTGTCGATGACCATGCTGAATGGCGGTGGTCAACCCGGCTCTTGGGGTTGGTTCCTCTAGATTTTCCCCTACGATTGATCCGTCAAAAAGAAACACCAGGCACTAACACCGCTGAAACACAGACATCCAAAAGCTTGCCGGTCCACTCAAGAATCAATGCTTATCCACTCATATATCATGCATACGCATACAACCCACATCAATACAATATATAATACATATATATATATATATACAATACATATATATATATATAAAATATATAAATATAATACATATATATATAATACATATATATATATAATACATATATATATATATAATACATATATATATATAATACATATGTATATATATATATTACACATATATACATAATACATATATATAATATAATATATATAATACATATATATAATACATATGTATATATATACATATATATATTATACATATATATATATATGATATATTATATAAATAATACATATATATAATACACATATATTTAATACATATATATATATATATAATACATATATATATATATAATACATATATATAATACATATAGATATATGTATAATACATATATATATATGTATATTATACATATATATATATATATAATACATATATATAATACATACATATATATAATGTATATATATATAATACATACATATATATATATATAATACATATACGTATATGTATATATATATATGTATGGGTTTGTCTGAAAATAGGGTATCTTCCAATCCATTGGTTTATATATCATTTTCCCAGCCATGCAGCGTATCCACACACCTCATCCCTCACCACCGAACTGTGCACGCTTCACCTGGAGCTGCTGGGTGAAATCCATCGTTTTGGATGGTTAAAAAAAAAGTTTCACAGATCAAAACAATGGTTTTACCATCAAAACAATGTTTAACGCCAGGTGAAACCATGTTTTGGATGTTTTTTGCTTGCAATTTTACGCCACAATCTTACGCATATCAAAAGAATCATCCCCCTTGTTGACCTGCGATGAAAAAAAAAGCCCCAAAAACATCAACACCAATCGTCGGTTCAAGAACATGAATTTAAGAATCGTTCTTACCCTCTGGTAATTTAACATAGCTATTGAAAATGGCTATTTATATAGTGGATTTACCCATTGAGAATGGTGATTTTTCCATAGTTATGTTATGTCATGTTAGTTTATGGCATTCACTGATATTCTTTATGGGGGTTTCCTGAAATAGGGATACTTCCAAATCATCCATTTTAGATTGGTATTTTCCATGAAATAAACCATCCAGCTATGGTACCACCATGGAAACCTGCCACGGCTCAAGGTCATGGCAGCGCACCCGGGCTCCATGGAAGGGTGGTGCTGCTGTGGCCCCTTGTAGCTCCAAGTTGTTTACCGTGACCTGGAGAATGGTAGGAATACGGCTTTTGGTGTCCGAAAATTTGGAACAAGCGAACAAGCCTTAAAATGGCCATCAATTAATTGGGAAAATCATTTGGAAAACCAGAAGGAAGGATTTTGGAGTATCCGAAATGACCATCAGTCTTGATTTGGTAAAATGATGGACTATGTATCTTGTTCAAAACCCATCGATTTCGGGGCATCCAATCCTGACCCAATGGATGAACATCGGATACATGTTGAGAATAGTGCGCGTCCACTGTCCGTTCATAGACTTTCAGAGGGCTATAAAATGTGGTAAAGTCAAACATTGGGGCCACCAGCCCCAAGGTTTATGAATATCACCTTATAAGGTAAAGCCAATATTAAATCAGCCCAATGAATCCCAATGGGGATTTTAATGAAACTGGCTATGCCGGCCCTGGGATGATGAAAGCCAAGAGCAAATGATGTCGCGCTGTTCGTGCGCTTGGAGGTGTTGAGTCTGTTGAGGCAAATCTAGATCTGAGTTCAAGACCTGCTAGACTGCTAGACACAAGCATCAAAAATCCTCCCTTCACCATGCTCTTCATGGATGAAGTGGCCGAAAAACTATATTTCGGCCAAGATTCCCAAAATGATTCCCACTACCAAAAACATTTAGGTGTCCCCAAAAAAAGGTGGACATATTGGTTCAACCCCTGAACATGTATATATTATGTTATATCCCAATGGCCCAATGGGATTACATGCCCATACCATAAGCGTCCATAAACCCAAATGATCCAAATCGTGTCTCTGTCCACTTCTTTGAATCATTGTCTCCTCTTACATGCCAAGAATACCCTAGCCTAGGTACACATTTTCCACTTCAGTTGACTTCTAGAAAGTTCATATATCATTTCCAATCCTACCCTCCAGTAACAATAGTCATGAAAAATCCACCGTCTGTAGATCAAAATATGTAGTTCTCCCCAAAAACATCGCTTTTTCAGTGACCTGAATCTGGATCGCCTCGTCACTTTCGCCTAAACGGAAACCGACGATGATAGAGACGAATACGATGAATGCGATGAACAAATGATGAATCCAATTGTTACAAAAAAATGTATGATTCCAAATGAATGCAATGAATCATTCTTTAGATAGTATAACAGTATAATGATAAAATGTGAGGAATGTACAGGAAATGCATGAAAAGAGTTGAAAAGATATTATCATACATGGAAAAACGTATGAATCAACATATACAGGAGTGTGAACAAATACAGTAAGTACAAGGGAAATCCCCATTGTCAACAGGAAAATCATCGGTAAATGGATGAAGTGAACGGGGAAAAATCTGAAGGCGAAATCTGGCTTTGTCGCTTGGAAAGCAGCAGATTTGGCTCAAGTTGGCTGCCTCCATAGCAACATGCGGCAAATTGGATACGTTAATTTTGGCATGATCTACTGTAATATGTGGTTTGAATGTCATAAATTCTGTTTCGCCATATCCGTATGCTTCTCGAATGCCCCTGTGAAGTGCTGGTGACGCATGGCTGATCAAAACCAGGCTACCCTTTCAAACATGTTCAAACATGGATGGTACAGCCAGATGTTCATCATCATCTGTTAAAAGTCAATGAACATCACATGCAGCATGACCCATCCCCAATACAACTCCCCATTTTGGAAAATCACAACCCCCCTTCCTTGGTGACCCGACTCTTCTTTTGTGGCGTTTTGCTCCTGCCGTGATGCTGCTCATCCAGGTGGTGCTATGAAAACGATGCCATTTTGCGATGGTTCCTTCTTACGCCTTCGAAAAGTATTTGGCTATGGCTCCAAAAATTCGGGGGCCCGAAAAAAAAAATGATGGCTAGATAAAGATATGGGTAGAACGTAACTTCAGAACGCAAGTAGTAAAATCATCATAAATTCATCTAAACATCACCCCATTTTCAGCCCAACAACATTGAGGTTCTGTTGGCCTGATCCAGCTGAAGGGTGGGCCCAGGACCTGCCAATGTGCATGGCTGTGTGTTCTTGTCGGAGCTCTGTTAGTAGGGGAACATTCATCAGCTTAGTTCCAACTGCCAATGGATTGGTTTATATAAGGGAAATTTTACAGGAAGCCATGGTTTTTACCATGAAAAATATGGGGTGTTCAACAGTATTTTTTCCCGTAAACCAATCCATCAGCTCCAGTTGGATCAACCATTCCAACTATCAATCGGACATCTCAGGGAGTCTCAGGGATTCTCAGGGATAGCCCCAAGGCCCCAAGGGACAAGGCGCTGACAGGCCTTGGCGGAACTCAGGCCCAAGGTGCCCTCGGCCATTGCTTCCAATGGTGCCAAGCCAGTCGGAAAAACCCAGAGCTGTTAGATTTGACTTACATTTTGGATGGTTAAATCCTATTAGATCCATATCTTTGATGGTCAAGTCCCAGAACACAAATCTTACTGGGACTTGACCATCAAAGATATGGATCTAATAGAATTTAACTCATTTAACCATCCAAAATGGTGATTTAACCATCCAAAATTTACAAATCTTCTGGTGCGTTTTACGCAGGGAATGGATGGGTTGCTGGGGGTTGCTGGGATTATGAAATTGATAGTTATTATAGATCATTCCCCCATTGACGTAAAATGCACCAGTAAGTAAAGTCACTAGAATGTCCGGTGTCAAACATAGCTAGGACATCCCCCATGGGAAAATCATCCATTCTTGTTCGGTGACTTTCCAGCCATGTTCCAGGACACCGGAGGGTCGCCTGTGTGGTCCATGTGGGGTCCGAAAATGGAGTAGCGTAACTGTTAATCAAATATGGAGTGCTGGAAAATCTCCCTTTCATAGATGATTTTCCCAGCTGTCAATATCCATTTATAGGATTTCATAGGTATATCCCGGGCAGCCATGTTTGTAGAATACTGAGAACGCATTGAACTAGTGGGTACCAAATCTTGATATTTTTACGCAGCTGGATTTCTGGTCTTGACACAAACGCACTTTGCTACATTCCTCCATCCCAAACTTGACTCAGGGGTCAAATCATCTATTTGTTTGCTAGATTTCCCACACAAGCATGAATAGCATGACCTTTTCACCACTCAGATCATGAAACCACCATTTATGTCCAGTTCAAATGATGTTTTGACCCACCAAAATTGGGGATTTATGTTTAAACCCCGGTGGTCCGCTCGGTATCTCTGGGCAATCCCACCAAATCAGTGTCAAGTAGGCCTGGATGGGGCTTGAAAACCGATAAAACAGCCGTTTTTGTTCCATTCATGAAAAAACATATTGGACAAAAAAAAAAGGTTGACCGAAAAATTGGTACTT